GAATCTAAAATGAGCTGAAATGCCACTTAGGCCACTAAAGGCTGAAATAGGATTTGACCCAGAGTCAAAGGAGAGAGAGAGGTACTTCTGAATGAGTGGAGGGTGCCCCCTCCTTCCTCCAGGGTTGATTCAGAAAGAATTGATACTGAGTGGGGACCTGCCTACAGCTTAGCCAATAGGAAAAGAAACACAGAAGGTTATTTCTGAACTCTTGCCACTCCTTCCACTTCAGGCATATGACTTAGGGCTGCACACTACATGTGCACCAGTGGGAAGAGGGGGTTTAAAATTAGAGTATCTTTTGGGAGCTACTCTAGTTAAAATGCCTGCAGCATCTCATGCATTCAGCATCCCAAGTTTCAAAATGGCAGCAAGGGTGCTGTAACTAAAATTCACTTGATGAGCTTTAAAGTACTCCCCACAACCATTTTGAAATGTGGGGGTGCTGCATACGTGAGATAATGCAGCATGTTGGAGCATTTTGATTAGAGTCATGTGTAAAAGTGCCCCAGATGTGTGGTGGGATGAACTATATTCTCATCCCTGTTTTCCTCACTGTTTATGTATTTTACACTAGAGAGTCACTTTTGCTAGGGACAAAAATTACACATAAACTGGTATAAGTGATCAGAAACCAATTCAAATCTGTAACACAGCAGAACTTCAGTTCACATAAACCACTTTCAAAATAGCTGAAACTGGTTTACGATAAACCTGGATAGATATAGTATCAGACTTAATTGATTTAGGTTAAATTGGTATATGGAACTTGTGTCCCAGATCCCCTCCAAATTCAAGTTCACTCACAGTCCCCCAGTATCCCAGGATGCTTTGTACCTTTCTAGCAACCCCCCCTCTTGCAGGGTGGGCAGGCTAGCATTGGCCAAAGCTGTCTTCTCCAGCTGAACAGGGAGGCATGCTCTAGTGCCCCACAGCTTCTGGCCTGGGCCACTGCAGGCATGTGGCTGCACTTCCAGAATCAAAAGTGAATGTCTGTTCACTTACTATATTGCACAGCTTAGACTAACGTGCAAAGACTGAACTGACTCAGCGTCTGGCTTTTTGACTGTCTGTACTTAGCCTTTAGGATGGGGCTGTGTATAGAACAGAAATACTCCTGAAACAGAGCCCACGACTCCCCTGTACCAACACAGGCAAGTGCCTCTGCCCTTAAGATACAAATTTAGGCTCTCTCTGGCCTGCAGTATTGAGAACACAGTGTTTCTGCTTCAACAGAAAGGGTGATGGGCATCTTCACCCTGCTTATTCTATAGGCTGAAGAGGGCCTAGAATCCGGGTCCGCTCTGTGTTACAGGTGGGCAGCACACCACTACCATTGTTTTTCTCATCAGAGACTGTTGCTTCTGCCTTCCATATTGAACTCAATGTTGCTGGTGTGTATTTGGTATTCTCTGAGTGTGTTTTACCAACTGGACCCCCTTCCCCCCCAGGACACAGCAAGAGTTTAAGTACTATTCTGCCTTGTATATGGATTGTAATGGAGCCTAGGCAGGAGCTAGTTCCCAAATATCTTTTTTACCTGCAAGAATATAGTGGCTTTACAGTTAGAATGACACATCCATTTTGAGCAAATGTTGGATTATACACTCCTTTGGCTATTCACAGTGAATCATGCATGGGGTACCTCTCCTTTGTTCCTAACTGGGAGCATTTTCCAAAGAATAAACAAAATATATTTCACAAACTTAATGCTTTGTGAAACATTTTTGGGTATTCTTTGTTCATTATTATGCACTTTTAAGAGGTAGTTTTGGCAAGTGTATTTGTAAACGAGAAAGAACTTAACCAGTATAAAGTATTGGTCATAATTAAAGCTCCTAGGCGGCAGATTAGAAGTCTTTCGTATCCCCTTTACTGTTCTGGAAACAGCATAGTGATCTTATGCAGCATTTCCTGTCCAAGCAGCCATTTGTATTGCCTTCCTCAACATGCATGTACCTGGTTTGTTTGAAAATATCCTCAGCAGCTGTAGGGTATGTTCCCTTTCACAGCAGGACCCAGCATGCTACGCTGTGCTTCTGTGCTGGAGTGGCACACTAAATGTAACAAGTGAGCCCTGTGGTTATACACAATTCCCCCTAACTAAAGGTTAAAATGTCACTAAACAATTTTTCCTCCTAAAATATTTCTTCTGTTCACTACATGTCCGTAGTTTATTGTCTTGTATACAGTACAACCTCATAAATACAGCATGCTTGGGACCGAGCATCTGGCAGAAATTTGACAATGCAGGATTTTTGCAACCGGCGTGACGGCTGGTTGTGGAGCAGTGGTTGCAAGTGGAGAGGCACAGGGTGGTGAATGGCAGCAGCAGCTGCCGCATACAAGATTCCCCCTCCACGTCTGGGGGGGGAGAGGAGGAGAGGTGGCTGGTCCTAGAGTGGCAGGGGGAGGTGCCAGATTTTTTATAATACAGATTTTGGGGAACTAGATTTATGAGGTTATACTGTATATCACAGGGTATATTTTCTGCAGAGAGTAAAAGGATTTATCTTATTCACAAGGTGAAATTTCTCCATTAAGATTTACCTTGCCCAGATTCTCAACTGTTGTTTTGTTTTTTTTTCCTGGGAATTCACTTTGTACTGGCAGGATGCATCTAGATGTTTGGCAAAATATGTAATGAACCTTGTGTGACACAGCCTTTCTGTATACTCATGTTAGAAAGGCATGTGTTGTTCAAACCTTCCTGAATAACATGTGAGGCCACATCTGGAGTACTGTGACCAGTTTTGGACCCCCATTACAGAAAAGACGTGGACAAATTGAAAAGAGTCCAGCAGAGGGCAATGGAACGATTAGGAGGCTGAGGCACATAACTAATAAGGACAGGCTGAAGGAACTGTGCTTATTTATTCTGAAGAAGAGAAGACTGAGGAGTGATTTTAATAGCAATCTTCAACTATCTAAAAGGCGGTTACAAAGAAGATGGAGCTAGGCTGTTCTCAGTGATGGCAGATAAAAGAACAAGGAGCAATGGCCTCAAGTTTTAGCAAGGGAAATTTAGGTTAGATATAAGGAAAAACTTTCTCACTAGGTGGGTAGTAAAGCACTGGAAGAGGTTGTGGAATATCCAGCCTTGGAGGTTTTTAAGATGCAGGTAGACAAAGCCTTGGCTGGGATGATCTAGTTTGGGTTGGTCGTGCAGGGGGTTGGACTAGTTGACCATCTGAGGTCCCTTCCAACCCTCATTTTCTATGATTTTAACAGCTGCAGTGGGTAGAATAGACTGTTTAGTACATTGACTATTGTGTTTTGGATGGCCAGATGTTAAGGTTTCTGCTTTAGCTGCTTGCCCCCCTTGCAGAGAGTTAATTAAATACTGCCTTCCTTGAAGGAAAGCATTTAATCTAATAATAAAGCCAGATGTTGCGGTATGGAGCCAGCTGATATTGACCAAGTAAAAGATTTACTAGTCACTTGAGCTAAGATATTTAAAGGTGACTAAAGGATTTGTGTTTGGAGTATGGGTGCAAGTGCACATGTGTGCATGTACGTGCATATCCTTCTTTTGATGCCACAGTTTGCAAGGGGATAGCACATTTTGCTTTTATATAGATAAGACCAGCTTTTGAACAGTGCTTCTGAGAGAAATAATTTATCTTTCCTGCTATGTTATTTTTATAGGATCTAAAATATTTTAGGACCAAAGAAGTTTCCTGTAATACAAGTTTTCTCAGATCATAAGCCTACCCAGAAAGGTACAGTTCAAGATGTTGTTTTTCCCTGTGAATCTGAGGGGATCAAAAAAACTAAGCTACCATGCTTGTCTTTCATGACTAAGGGATAAAAGTGTTAAGAGTTAAGAGAAGACAACAGTCTTTTTTTAGTCAACAAGGTAGTAACAAGGAAGGGGTACACAATGAATTTGGTTACAATGTTCTAGGACAGTAAACCTCCTGACAGGTATGGAAAAGGTGTCCATTGATACCACAGTTCTACATCAATTAAAAAAAGCATACTTAATCATGTAAAATCCTTGCAGTTTTTCTCAGCAGAATCAAATGGCTGCATGTCAATGGTCCTACCATTTCATTTCCCATCTCTTTCTCAATTCTTTGTTAGAGTATCAGGAGAAACAGACAAAACCAGTTTAAAAATGCATGGTCATCTCAGTGTAAACATGTATAAAAGTATATACATTTTGATTCAGAGAAACTGCTGAATAAGCAGCAAAATCAAGACTTATCAATATTGTATCATTTATTAGATAACTATGCTGCCCTTCCCAAAATTATTATTAGATATTGATTAGATATCTATGCTGCCTTTCCCAAAACATGCCCAGGATTGCTTACTATAAGAAATAAATAACTTAGATATATAGATAAAATATTAAAGAAGATATATATATCATATAACAAAAGCTCCCCAAACAATACCCAAACTTAACCTTGCTTGCTAAGCATCTGCCCCAATAAAATATCTTATAGTACTTCTAGAAGATGTTCAGGCTTGTATAATAACTATGTTTAATGCATTTTCAGTTTTGCAAAATGTAAATAATATTGCGTGTATGTTGACTTGCATCTCAGGTTTCCTTCTGATTTTTAAGACTGAAGCAAGGGGAACATTTTTAATTCCTTTATTGCACTAAAGGAACACTAACACTTACTGTTAATTAAAATTAAAAATAAGTGAAACCAAATAGGAATGGGAGATGGAAAAAAATATTGTGCAGACAGATTATGGGCAAGTCATATAAGTACGAAGTGTATCAAAGGTCCAAAAATGCCATCTCTCTATTAGAATAGCATAGTTGTTACGCAGCTCTGTCACAAAATTGTGTATCTAAAGACTGCGAATGTGAATGGATATTGAAAATCGACTGAGTGGACACTACTTTGAAAATGTCTTCTTCTGTAAGGTTAAGTAAGCAAATGAAGGTGTTTCAGCATAAGAAATCAAACTGACATGCAACTTATGTCCTTTGTGAAGAGTCTACCTACAAAGTTATGTGTTTGTTTTATGACCTATAGGACAGCTTTCCAGCTCGGTTTGGAGGAATTCATTTCGTCAATCAGCCATGGTATATCCATGCCCTCTACACGGTTATACGACCCTTTCTAAAGGAGAAAACACGAAAAAGGGTACTCTTTTCTTTATTTTTATATTGATAGACCATTATGGTCACCAGATGTACAAAGGATATAGAAAACAAAAATAAATTATCTAGTTGGAATTTATTTAATGTCTTTAAATATGTCTGTTTTGAAAGATTTTTTTGTGTCAAGGATCTCCACTTGCCTTGGAAATATATATGGCTTTATCCTTTGAGGCTCTGATCTAAAGTAGCTAAGTGTTTAATTTTAAGCACAGGGTGTGTCCAGATGGGCATGCATGTGCAGGGACATGTATTTGCCATGGCAAAAATAGTAGCGGCACAAATCTGTGCTGCTGATTTTTGCTGCTGCGCATGCCCCTGCCTGTGGGGTTCGATGAGGGACAGAACGTCCCACTTTGGGGAAATGGCCATTTCTCTGTTTCTTCTGGCTCCTGGCATGCTGGAGAAGCTGGGGGACAACTAAAGGAGGGTCTCCAGCAGGCAAAACATCTCCCTGGAAGACCCAGCCTTTGTGCTGGGATATTTAATAGAGCTTTTTCATCCAGAAATACAGACATAATATTTTTAAATTAGCTCCTTTTATTTTAAAAGAATACCTGTAGTATCATTTTTATTACAGTGTCACTGCATTTGTCATCATTGACTAAAGTTATGATGCAAATGTATAAAATATTCAATTTGGGTACATGTTTGTATTCACTGTAAATGCATACAGAAAGGAGTGTGTGTGTACGTTAATTTCTGAGATGTAGTTTAATTTGCATCAGTAACATCACTACAGTGGCAATGGTGAAGGTATCCTTTGATTCATCCAGACCTACGTGTGCAAGGCTCGCTCTGGACTCATGCTGAAGGCCACACTTACCTGATCTAGCTATACGTGGGAACTGGATGTTTGGGCTAGGGAGTCAAGGGCAGGACATGATGCTGGCTGCACCAGGAGCTGCTGGCTACAGAAACTGGGCAACATAATTATGATAGCCAGATGGATCCTTTAGGCTTGAACAAATTTTTGACTTTGACATCATTGTAACTGAAGTAGAGTTTGGTGGAGGTAAACATATAATGGTAATATTTCTTTAAACTGAAATTTGTCCTCCAATAAGATTTATTTAGCATCATACATAAAACTTCTGTAGCATGTTTTAGTCTAGCAGTCTAATATATCAGATTGTCTAGGGAACTCTATGTTTTTCTCTACTCAAATGCAGTACAGAATGCCTCAGTCTTTTTTAAGTGTTTTAATAATTTTTTTGCTAGACAAATTATGCCTGAGAAGCTTCTGGTACCCATGAAATTATAACTGGATCACCAAGCTTTTTATATAATACATGCAATAAATATGCAAATGAAGAACGCATTTTACCAGATTCCGTTTTTTTCTACTGATTTCAGCTTCAGTCAGAAGCATTTTAGTGTCAGAGGCATTTGAAATGTGTTTAAGTCAAGTGCTATATGCACATAAAGAAGGACTGTAGTGCAGTTCATGAATATTATAAAATGCTACTATGTTTTTTAAAAGTGAGTAATCAAACATGGCTCCTAAGTTTAGGTTTTAAATCCATAACTTTACAGACGTTGAATTCTTCTAGTTCACTTGAAGGTTTTAGTGTGTAACACCTCTAAAATAAGCATCTATAAAAATAATTTTAAGCATTCAAATTTGAATGTTCAGCCAAATATATTATTTAAAGTCAACTTTGGAATGCAGTAAGAAGCCAGTCTTGAAATACAGGGTAGTATCTTTCTAAAACTACAACATCCCTCTGGGTTTTTGTTAGAATTTTGCTCAGCTTGTCATCAATATTTTTGTTTATAAAGTTACAATGAATACCCATAGCAGATGTACAGGTTATAGAGTTGAGTTGAAAAACTATGTTCAGATGAACATAAGTATAAAACCATACCTTAAAATGGAATAGCTTCGGAGAGGCACTATAAAACAAATTACTTCTGCCATAAACATTTGCACTATTTTTTCATGCAAGGATGAGTTCTTTATTTCTAAGATTGGGAAACATGTGCTGGTTTTGTATCTTTATATTAAGCTGCTTCATCTTTGCAGCTGCTTGCTGGGTGAACTGAAACAAATGGAAAAATGAATGTATATGTTATTTTGTCTCTGACTTTTTTTACTTGCTGCTTTTTAATATAACTTTTAAAACTGCTCATCTAGCCATTTCCCCTCTTCCTATTTTCAGTTAGAGAGGGCTGCCTGAATCCATATAGCCTTAGTTTTTGGTGCTATAAAACTGTTTCTTTATGGGCTACACAAAGCACATATTCTAAAAATAAATCACAGACTGCCAAAACAATTATATTCACAGCAATATCTAGTCAACCAATCATTCTCACCTATCATTCTATTCACATAGATAAGACATGTTTGATTTAATGGTGCTGATTGTCTTGTACATTGCCATATACAGGTAATATAATTATCCAGCAAAATGCTAGGTCAAAAACTCTTTTCAGTGGAGTCTGCATAAATCATTGTTTAATACCTAATTGGAGGAAGTCAGCTCCCCTTATTTACTTAATAATGGAATGACAAAGCTATTAATAAATACAAATAATATTAAAAGAAACATAACAAATATCTTTGTTTACCCAGCATAGGACTGTCTTCCATCTTAGGGCCTTGATTCTGTTGCTTGCTTTAAGTAGGACTATTCACATGCGTAACAGTAAATCTTCATATTCGTAGGATCAGAGACATAAACGGGAAGCCAGTTTTCAAATAGAGACCTTGTCTGTCTTTTTGGTGGTAAATTACCTAGCAGAGCAGGGCTGTGATATAAATATTTATTACCAGTTATATAATAATGATACACTTTTGAGCTGTGAGATTAGCTGTGATTTCTTTTTCATATATACACAGATATTTCTTCATGGAAATAACCTCAACAGTCTGCATCAACTGATTCATCCTGAGATTCTACCTTCTGAGTTTGGAGGAATGTTGCCACCATATGACATGGGAACATGGGCCAGAACACTGCTAGACCACGAATATGATGATGACAGTGAATTCAATGCAGATTCCTACAACACTTCCTCGAAAGACACAGAAAAGGACCTCTCTCCCAAATCCATGAAGAGGTATGTGAAATAGGATTCTGTGGCATGCTAGCACAGTTGTGGGATGTCAATATATCTTGTATTCCTCATTATGATTGTTCTGAAGCCTTTCATAATTCCCCCAAACAATTTGTAATCTAAGAAACTAGTTTTTAGAAGGCACCTATACAGATGCTGATAGTCATAATTCATGTGGAATAATTAATTATAAATAATTACTTCTGAAGTGCTATCCAGTAGGTGCTTTATGGGCAACAAGCTAAGGTTCCCTCTCTCCCCTCCCTCCACCTCTCCAAGTTGTTTTACACTATATGTCAGAAAGTGTATAGAGAAAATTATAGGGAGAAAGAGACAGGATTCATGTGAATTGAGTTTGATAACCAGCTCAACATTCTAGGATTTATCTAAGAAGATAGATGCTAAATTTTAGTTATATTTTACAGTTACAGGGTAGGCAAGAGAACAGAAGAGGCTAGTTATTGGTGGAAGGCAGGCTGGAAGAAGGCAGTTTTTTAAAAACCAAAGGAGAACAAGGTGTCTTGATACACTGAAAAAGTGTCTGTTTTTTCTTTTGCTATACTATAAGAAAAAGGTACAAGGTTGGAAGTGGAATGGATATTTTGCAGCCAGAAGGTTTTTGTAATGCAAGGCATAAGTAAGTAGGCATATCATGTAAGCAGGGGAGAAATTTAGGCTAGAAAGCATTATAAAGGTCTCTAAAAAGAGGGTCATCTACTCTCAGTGACAGTAGTATAATTTGGGAGCAATTTTACTGTGAAGATCCAATCCAAGGGGACTGAGTTTGATGCAGAAAGAGATAGGGAGCCTGGGAAAGGTATTCTAGCAAACAGATCTGTATTCAGAATTGCAGAAAAGGACAATGATTTTGAGCACAGAATATGGATGGAGAGTGGAGGAACAAGAGCTCATAGTTGCAAAGAAGTCAACAAGGGGCAGATGTTAGAAGTGTTGTATTGAGAAAGATGGTAAGAACTGACAAATGAGAAGTTATTAAACAGTCTGAATGGAGAGAAAGATGAAGAAGGAGAAGTCAGAAGTTCTCTAGAAAGTGAGTGACAGGAACAGTGATGGGAACCATCAAGAGAAATGATAAGAAAAAGATGGGAAGGTAAAGGGTTTGGGTGGGGGAACATGATGAATTTTGATTTTTAGTGTTCATTGTAGTGTTTTTAATTTGCACATCATTTATAAGGAATTATGGGATACAGAAACATTGCTATCTTGGACAGAGGGAAAGCAGGAATAGAGATGCAGATTTACACATCTCATCACTGAAAAGATGGTAACTAAAGCTATGAGAGCAAATGATCTCACCCAAAGAAGGTGAATGTAACACGAGAAAATTGAGAGGGCTGATGGCAGGCCCCCCTTGAGGCAAACCTCACGTCTGGATTGGAGAACTATGTCAGTGAATTGACTGAGCTCTTCTGTTTTTTCAAAATGGAGAATAGTTATCTATTTTCTCTGCATTTTGCTCATGACTTGGAAAACCCTTGAGGCAGAATTACACTTCAGTTTAGCTTTCAAATTGATCTTCACATGCACTGCACAGTATTTTTTCCACTTGAGTAAATATTGTAGATGTGTACCAGCACAGGAGAGGACGTTCCAAGTATGTTATTTCTCTGTGTGCATATAATTTATTTTGAAACAATGTTCAGCTGAAATACCTTCACCCTTATGTGTTTAGAGTCTCATATTTATTCCTATAGCACAACTGCAGTGTATGCTGGAATCCCCCTTCCCAACTGTTCTATATAAAAGGAACCAGCTGGAGCTTCTGCAGTTGTAGTGCACAGGAAAGAGACGTAGTTAGGACACTGAATAGGAAAACCAAGTCTTAGAGCAGAATCCTGTCCCTTTTTGTGTGCATACCTCAGTGTTTTTGGTGTTTTACATTTGCACTATAAGCATGTAAGTGTGCATGTGTGTACAGAGTATGTATATGAATATGTACACATGTACATAGGCATATGTCCTGGAAAAAGCTTAACTAACATGTATAGCCTTTTGGCTAGGGACAGAAGGTACACTTCAACTGGTATAAGTGATCAGGAACCAGTTAAGATCTGTAACACAACAGGGCTAGGGGCAGACATTCAAAAAGTCTGAGCCCAAATTGATTCAATTTTTGCAGGTTAGTCTAACCTGGCTAGGCTGAACTGGTTTGTAACTGCACAGACATCCCAGAAATGCAGGCATATGCCTGCAGTGGCTCAGGCTAGAAGCTGGGGGGTGCTAGAACAGCCCTCCCATTCCTTCCACAACACTGAGCTGAGGGGGAACATTGCCAGACCCTGGGAGGACACTTTGATTAGCCCAGCAGGGAATTGACAACAGTGTTTATAACCCCTAACTCAGTGTTTATCATCCCATTAAGAAAACAACAGAGGGACATTACCAGCTACCTGTTGATTCTGCCTGTTGATTCAGCAGGGACCATAGCCACCATGTGGTCTGCTAGCTAATACACAGACAAGTCCTCAGCAAGGCTGAGGGGAGGGGGGAATTCCTGCTTAGCAGAGAGTGGTGAGGAGGAGTGGGTGGAGCAGCCTGCAGTCTGTGCTGGAGCTGCTGTGCTGGAGCTGCAGCCAGAGAGCAGAGGAGAGAGCTCAGCTCTGCTTTGAAGAAGAGAGCCTTGCCCAACCCAGAGAGCATGCTGGGATGGTGGGGGTGTTTGGTTTATCTTAAACCAGCAAGGGGTCTGAGATAGACATTGCATAAAGCGGTTTGACCCAAATCAGTAAAGTCTGATAAACCATGTTTATCTCAAACTGGTTTCAGCCATTTTCAAACTGGTGTATGTGCACTGAAGATCTGTTGCAGGTTTTAACCAGTTTCTGATCACTTAAACCAGTTTATGTGTAATGTTTGTCCCTACAGAAGTTCACTGCACATGGTCTGCTTTCAAAATGGCTAAAACCGGTTTAAGATAAACCTGGATGGATGTAGTATCAGACTTGACTGATTTAGGTTAAATTGGTTTATTGAACTTCTGTCCCAGATCCCCTCCAGATTTAAGTTAACTCACCCAGCATCCCAGGATACTTTTCACCTCCTCCACAAACTCCACTTTTGCAGGGTAGATGGTCTAGGCTTGGCTCAAGCTGTCTGCTCCAGTAACGCAGGGAGTCATGCTTTAGCTCCCCCTAGCCTCTGGCCTGAGCCACTGCAGGCATGTGGCTGCATTTCCAGAATCAAAATGAATGTCTTTTGTTCACTGGCTTATCAATTCAATCTACACAGTTTAGACTAACCTGTGAAGACTGAAATGATTCAGCCTCTGGCTTTTTGACAGTCTGTACTTAGCCTTAATGGGCATTGGATATAATGCATAGAGAACAGTACAGTGCAGAAGTTTTTTGCTTCACTGGGAGAAAAGGTCCAGTCTAGGACCCTGAGTCCCTTCCTATCCAGAGAAGCAGCCATCTCACTGAGGCACACACCCCATAATTTGCTCTTTTCTTTCTGGTCACACTTATTTCCCTCTCTTAGCTGCCCAGGGGTACTAGCTTCCAAAGGAGCAAGGGCGAGAAGAGGACTGGAAAATGCCTAAGCTGTGGGGTGGCAGTTTGAGCATTGTGTTGAGAAGTCATAGAGAGGCAGGGCAAGGGGGAACTAAGCCAGATCTCTGGCTTCCTGGGCAAATGTCCCAACCACATAGATACTGAGGGTAAAACATGGGAGGGACCTCCTTCAGTAACAAACACCTGTTAGTTTTGGGTTTCTGGCTGACTACATTTTTGTGCTGTATGCATTCAGAATGCATCTGTGTATATGGCTGTGTATATGCCTATCCAGTACATAGGCTGCTGTGCATACTCAGTCAAAGTGTGCACTTATATATTCTCACTGCAGGTTAATAGAACTGCAGCCTGTGCGTAAGTGCAAAATAATGCTTACACAGCTGAAACTGACATTTAGGTGCACAAAGGGAAACAAACATACAAACAATATTAAAATAACATTGAGGCTGGGATAGCAAATGGTTAAGGTAAGCAAAATTCAAGTGAAGGCTGATTTTTTTTTTTAATTGTTTGCACAGATATTATACCACATTCACAATAGTGTGCAACTGCACACCTGATTTTTTACATCTGTAATACACAACAGTAAGAGAAAGAAAGAACAACGGAGCAACAACCTTAACTGACTCTCCTGGACTTCGTACATATTGTAAAGCTAGCAAATCCCCCAATAATTTTCTTGCTTAAATTCCCTGTGCCATTTCAGAGCACATTTGCTTGCACAAGATAATACTCTTCCTTAAAACAAAATCCTGCTAAGAATGTCATTACTCAGTCAGCCTGCTTGCCTCCTTACAGCCATAACATGTACTTTAAGAAGGTTCAGATCTCAGTAAAGTTCTCTGAGATTGATTGAACCTAATTTGAAAGGCAGAATGAACTTATGGTTCAGGCACAGTGATAGGCCTCACAGGATCTGGTTTCTGCTCCCAACTAAACTTTGTGAGTCTGGTTTTCATTTGCAAATTAACTTTGAGTTCTGTTTTTGATCTCTGATGGGGGAAGGGAAGATAATAATACTAGTCCTTCTCACAGACATGGAGAGAGGTTTTATTAAAAATATTTTTAGAGTGCATTGAGACTTTTAGATGGAAGAAACTATAAAATTGTATTGTTATGTTAGTGTGTCCTGGAGGTACTATACTCTGGAGCAGAATGGAGGAGACCAAATCATTTTTTGTTCCAAAATAAAACGTTGACATTTCCTGCAGAATGGGAATGCTGAAATTGCATTTTGAACAAGTGATCCATTTTGAAAACGCTTGGCTTTGGCCTTTTGAAACTATTCTGTAGCTCACAAGGCACTGCAAAACAGTTTGTTGACCATTTGCCTAATTATACTTAAATACATATACAAATACTTCTTTTTAGTTCTTGTTCATTCTTTGTGTACAAGTGCATACACACACACTCCCATATGCATATAAACAGGGATCCAGGTTTTTCCTTTCCCATGGAAAAAAAAGGATTTCTTCTTTTACTCAAGAAAAACATGGATTTTTCATTTTAATGGAGAAACGTATAGATTTTGCAGTATTGCAAAGAGCTGTCTGCAGGCGGGCAGAGTTCCAGCCTGCAAGAGGCTGGGGGGAGTGGAAGCAGGGCAGTCAAGCAAGGGGTGCCATGTGCATGTATATGCATCTTGCCATCAGGCAGCCTGGAGAACAGTTCCGGAAGGTAAGTGTGGGAGAGCGGGGGGGGAATTGAGGCCCCCATAGGGAAGGAGGGAGTTGGGCACAGCAGGGCTGGGTCGGGCTGCTGCCCAGCTGGGTGATGCATGCAGCTTGGGGGCTGGGGTTGTAACATGTGGCTGCAGAGCCCCGATAGGGACCAGGGTGGAGCTGTGGATTGCTCATCTGGGGTGGTGGCACTGGCTCTGGCTCTCCCAAGCTCTGTGCACAGGCTAGGGAAGCTCATTGCAGCCACTGCAAGCCCCATGCTGGCCTGGCAATGTGTCCCCTGCCCTCCCCAGAGCAGTGGGAGCAGCAGCTTAGGATTGTTCCCCTTGCTTTTCTGGGGCAGGCAGGGGACTGCATTGGCAGGGCACCATAGGGCTCACAGCAGCTGCAATGAGCTTCCCCACCCAGCCCCACTTTGCTGTGCCATGCCAGGTCCCACCCACTGGTCTGCAGAGGGCCCAGGGGAGGGCAGCAGAGCAGGGAGCTTGAGCCTGCAGCAGCCAGCCCACCCATGTTTCATGCAAATATCTGGGGGGCATGTGCCCCCTCGTCCCTCCAGGAGCGTAGTGGGGAGCCAGCCTCCCCCACCCAAGCCCCTCCACAGGCAGCCTGCATTGGCACCTCTCCATGGGCTCCTCTCCAGCTGTGCCGCCTATGGGGGAGGGGGAGCCAGGCTTCCCACTCTTAGGCCACAGCAGCTGCCACTGCCCACAGGAAGCAGCTGGGGCTCCGGTGGTGCTGTGGGGGTCAGGGGCTGTGGACCTGGGTCCCTGGCTCCATAGCCCTGGCAGCTGGGGGCCCGCTCCAGCAGGGTTGGGAGGGCAGGGAGCTGGGGGGTGGGGAGTGAGGGGCACCAGCGGATCTGGGGGGCTGTGGGTAGGGAGTGAGGAGCCTGGACCTGCATTCTGTGAGCTAGGGGGTCAGAGGGAACTCTGATTTTCCATGCTAAAAAACCCAAAATTAAATACCATAATTTACAGGCATTTAGAATTGATTTTATTATAGTGATTGAGACCCTGGTAAGCTTCCAAATTGCTTTAAAATAGTAAATATATCAATAAAACATGGTGTTCAATTGATAGCTATATATATAGTGGCATTTCATTTTAATTGTGGATTTTGTAGTTTTTATCAGAGAATTTGTGATTTTTCTCAGAGAAAACCAGGATCCCTGCTTATATGACTTATCTGGTGGCTACAAAAATATTTTCTTCTCTCAACCCAGAACAAGGAATTTCATCTTTAGAACTACACAGGCAATATTCAGTACCATGCCATGACAGGTTTAAGGGCAGGCAATAGAAATCAGATTCTTATTCCACTGAAATAGACAGGTTCTTAGCTTTCTACGGGGAGGAATTAGTATTATTTATTTGTATGGTAGTAGTGACCAAACACTGGCCTGAGATCAGGACCATATTGTGCTAAGTGCTCTAGAAAGATGGACACAATTCCTGTCCAGAAGAGTTCAGCATCTTCTTTTCTTCATGTTTTATAAGAAGGATGGGCCAAATTATCTTCTGCTGTAAATTGACCCAGTTCCACTGATTTCAATGGATCTGTTCCAATTTATACTAGTAAAGAATTTGTCCCAATATTTTTTCTTATGTGCTTGAGTTCTGCAAATGGTGTGATGTGTAAGTGTGCTCTTGTCCCTTTAACTGCTTTTAAAAATGGTTTTGGAATTAATATGTAAAACTGAGGATCATACCTTCTCTGGACCTGATGTTGTACAAATTACAAGCTAAGACGGGTGGTGTGGAGGCAGAAGGATATGCAAGCCTTCCAGGGAAAACTCCAGCAACTGCAGAAAGTAGCGCTGACAAGTTTGTCACTTTCCCACTCAAATAAGTCTACACTGGGGAATTATAATACCAACTTCGCACTTTTATTTTCTTTTATCAGAAAATCTCTGAGTGTTTTACAGTCAGCTATGAATGTAGGCATACAATCCTGCCCGAGTCAACTTAGTTAAACTGATAAGGGTGGTGAAAGTCTGTCCACTGGTCCAGAACTCCTGCTGGCCATGGGAGGAGTCCGTGATGCTGGCTTTGGAGAATGCACTCCAGGGTGCACTTAAGTGCTGCTCAGAAGAAGAATAACTTGTGCCTCTAGCTAATGTGGGCTGCTAATTTTACCATTCCAGTAGTCAGCTGGGTTGTCGGAGAGACCCCTTTTTGGTAGACGGTATGGGTGTCAGTGCATAAGTTTGGTTTGGGCGGGTATTTTCTGATCATTTGCTGTGATAAGATATTTGTGCTGCCTGGATTGTTATTTTTGAACTCTGAGGGGAAAAAAACCCCAAAAACCAAAGTGCTGATACTTACCCTTATTTGTCTTGATTGAGAAAAAATGGAAAAAACAACACCATGTTATCCTTTTGTAGGTCTCAGTCAGTTGTGGATCCTGGGGTTCTAAAACGTATGGATAAAAATGAGGAAGAAAACATGCAGCCTTTGCTTTCACTTGACTAACAGCTCCTGAGCATCAATTGTGAACTGAGGTGGAAGGTACTGCCTTTCAGCAACAAGCAGAATTTTGGAATGGAATGTACCAGCTAGAAATCTATTTATTCATGTTAATGTAGCATAATGTTATCAGGCAGCAGATTTTGCTGGTCTGCCTGAAATATGGGTGCCCTGGAATGAAAAGGAAAACAAAAATCAATAATTTATTCTGTAAGTGCCAACTTGTTTGTAAATACAATGTAATCCTCTGCTTTGAATTTGTAAATCATTGTAAGCAAGCAGAATGGAAAAGTGACTATTAAAATGTCTCAGTGAATGCACTAAAAAAGGTGAAAATTGCATACACAGAAAGAGGAAGCAGAAACATCAAGGCTACTAATTTTTGTCCTTTTTCAAGGAAGCCATATTGCAGCTGCCCTAACAACTGCTTTTTTCCCCCTCAATGACGGTTGTATAGTGTTCAGAGGTAAAGCGGGAACATAACAACTTGGAAGGATCGGTGTAAGCAGTAGAGTTTCCTAACGGTAGGAATTGATTTCACAAATAACTTTGTGGCTTGGACCGTGACTTGGCATAAGTAATGGAGCATTGAGAAAAGAGGTGACAGACAAGCAGGAAACCACATTCTTCTACTGTTTGGCTGGAAGATTTTGTGAGGTTGCTTTACCTTTACTTTTTCAAGCAAGGTTTGGGTTTGAAAGCTGCTTGACTCATTATCCTAAGCTGGGGTTTACAGTGCGTGCCATAGCAAAATCACTTCTATTGCATATGGAGTGTACTTCAAGAATTTTTCCTGAACTCTCTGCTCCCTTGAAATGAGAACGTATTTATCCAAAAACAATGTAATAACCAGTATTTTGAATATAAAGAGAAGCATCAGCAGGTTAAGGGTTAATTTCTCATTCCTGTGCACTGGGTGACTGAATACATATATATATTTTTACCAAACTCTTACAAACATATGAAGTGACATTGTTAGATGAGTATATTTAATCAAGGGTTTATAAAAACAAAAGCATACCTATTCAATGTACTTAGATATATTATAGATTGTATATTGAGGCAATGTCATCATTAATGTAGTAAAACTTTCTGTATAGCGTCCCACTTCAGACAAGGATTAATATGAATAAGTTGTGGTCAGAAATTGCCGCCTATGTGTTTAAGCCACCTTTGTTTTGGTTGTGGTGTGTATATATAGAACATGTGCCATAATGGAGAAATACATTTTACCTCAAAAAAACAACAGGTCTTGATACAGACTGGACAAAATCATCTGGAATTTGGGGGCTATATTTTCACCTATGGTGTATACTTGTGTATGTGCAGTTCATTGTGCGTAAAGACAGGAGTTTGCCAGTGAAACTGCCAGACATCTTCTGTCAGTATTTGACACTGCTATCAAACCAGAATAGGAAGACACAGGATATTCAAGACAATAGTAATGAAGAGTAGAGATGTAGTAGGAACATACCAGAGTCTGTCAGGAAACAAGTAAGCGTACTCTAAGAGCTGCCTGAAACCTGGGATAAATCATGTAAAACCCATAGAAATCCAATATTTGGTAGTCTATGGGGGGCATCTACATGAGACACTTACTGTGGAGTTGCCTAATTAGCTCCAATGTAAAGCATCTCCATCTACATGTGTGGAACTATTAGGCCGGCGTAAATTAATTTAACTCCACCCTAGGTTAGTACTTCCCGATACAAGTACTATCCTATGGTGGAGTTATTTACTCTGCCACAACGCATGGGTAAACTGCGACTGGGATTGGCCAGGCCATGAGGCTGCCTGCTGGCTAGCCCCACACTGTGTCCCAGCCAGCCCCTCTGCAGCACGTTGAGCCTCCCGGGGATCCCTGCGAGCCAGAGCTGTGCTGCATGCTGCAGTCCT